ACACACACACACACACACACAACACACACACACACACACACACACACACACACAGAGACTAACATGTTACACACACACACAGACTAACATGTTACTGATATTAGCATGTTAAGAAACAGCAGCAGAAGGACCGAAATATTACACATGTAAAGATCAGAGGCACATTATAACTGCTGGTTGCCTTAGCTGAGCTAGCTCAGAGCTAATGTTAGCCCGTGAACCGCCCTGCTAGGTTAGCTTGCAAATGGGTCTGACGTTGACGTTAGCTAAGGTTAGCCGGCTCCTTTGGCAGCTAGCTGAGAGAGCCAATGGACATTTCGTCCCTTTAAAACTTCACCTCGCGTCTCCGAGCCTTACTCGGCTGTCCTCACCTGTTCTCCAGAGACAGGTGAAGACAGCACGAAGACATTATGCGAAGCTAACGTAGCTGACCTCTTTAGCTGGGCAGCTTGCTGTTGTAGCTGCGGGGCTAACCTGGGCTAACCCGGGCTAGCTCACACAGGGCAAACTGGCACCGAGCCTCTCCTCAGATATACCGCTGAAATATAAAAGTTTACCTCTAAATAACCCGGGTTACTGCCCGAGCGCTGTCCTCTCTCTCCCGGAGGATCAGCGGAGAGCCATACGGCCTGTTGTCAGGGACTGGAGGTGTTTTAGTCCGCAGTGACAGCTGTCATCGGTCCGCCTCTCCGGCTTCACTGCCCTCCTGCTCCGTAACTCTGCCGAGCCTGAGGACCCGGATGTTAGCAAGAATCAGGGTGTGAAGCTGCCTTCATGCCCCGTCAGACATTTCAGCCCCCTCCGAGATTTTCCACTGAGAGTTTTTTTATTAAACGACACACCGAGAAACGCTCCAGCATTCAGACTGTGACCACATGGAAACCCTGAATGAGTAATGACGTCACTGGCTATTCTTGTTACTATATAAATATAATGATGTCATACAATAACACAGTTCAGATACACTCCTGCTGTATGAATAAATATAACTCATTTTAATCCAATCTGACCGTGGACCAGGTCTGAGTAGTGTGTTGTTACTCTGTTTTAAAAGAGGGTCTGTCCCTACATTTTAACATCAGAATATTCTGTAATGGTTTATATTAGGAAGCTATAGGCAGATATATTTAAAAACAGGACTTTCTTCTTGCACACACTCCTAAAGTTTTATCAACACACTGAAACACGTATCTTTGGCTTTTACTGTGTTTATTATTAAGTCTAAGGATGTATAATTATTAAAGTGAATCACCTGTAATCACATTTATTAAACTTTTCTACATTTTTGATGTTTAAAAAGTAAAAACCTGTTCAGTCCATCAGAGGGCAGATAATCTGTCCTTCTGCTGTTCCTGTTTAGTCCAACAGAGGGCCAAGAGTCTGTCCTTCTGCTGTTCCTGTTCAGTCCAGCAGAGGGGAGTAGTGTATAACGTGTGTAAAGCAACTCTCTTCATGTCAGCTGATCAGTTCAAAGTTAAAGTTAACCCTTCCTGATGAAGAACATAATGCAGCGTGGATTTGACTGTTATTACACTGAAGATGAATTCATAATAATCATTACAGTATGGGCCGCTGGAGGTGCAGTGGTTAGTGGGCGCCCCATCTATGGAGGCTGCATTCTTCCAGGTGAGTGGCCCGGGTGCGGGTCCGGCCTGTGGCTCCTTTCCTGCATGTCATTCCCCACTCTCTCTCTCCCTGATTTCTGGCTCTATCCTCTGTCCTTTCTCTACATTAAAGGCACGAAAAGCCCCAAAAAAATCATAAAAAAAATAATCATTACAGTAAATTTGAGAAATGTAGTACAACAAAGCAAAAAAAACAATATTTGGTAATAAACTATTACAGGAGAGCAACAAAATTATTTAGTCTACTGAACTTTAATAATTCAAGCAGACACACACACAGTGAAACACACACACACAAACAGAGTGAAACACACACACACACACACACACCACACACACACACACAACACACACACACACACACACACACAGGGAAACACGCACAGTGAATCACACACACATTCTGCTCCGTCGTTCTGGGGTTAATGAGTGTTTTCAGGGTTTAGTAGAGTCTTAACCTGCAGGCTCGATCAGACTCTGAGTCTCCTGCTGAAAGTTGTCATCACAGTTTAAACACTGATTACTCTTCATCTGTAGACACACTCTTTACGGATAACTTTAAACACACAACACACTGAAATTATCTGAGCTGCTGATCAAACTCTAACCCTTTCAGGTGAGCTGATGACTCTGTTTATGTGAATATATGATAATTAAAGAGTCCATCAGTATTAACTCATCCTTTCATACACATTCACACACTGATGGTAGAGGCTGCTGAGTAACTGCATAATGGGCAATCTTTCCCCCCCACTCTCTCTCTCTCTCTCTGAAGTTACCCCTCAGGGGGTAGGAGGTGGTCACAAGACTAACTGTGTGTGTGTGTGTGTGTGTGTGTGTGTGTGTGTGTGTGTGTGTGTGTGTGTGTGTGTAGGGGGGTCAGTTGACATTTGTTGGGAGGTGTGATGTGATAAAAGAAGAATCTCACACTTCTTCTTATCCAGACGTTGAGATTGTTTGTGAAAAGGATCTTGTTTTAAAGAGCACACACACACACACACACACACACACACACACACACACACACAGTGAAGTGGAGCTGCAGTTTTGTCTCATTAGTCCATTTGATTGTTCTGTCCTTGTCTCTGTAAACAAGCTCTGAGGGAGTGTGTCTGAATCCTGTACAGTAGGGGGCGATATGTCCTCTATCAGCAGGTTACTATTTGACCTTCTTCCTGTAACCTTGCTAAACTAAACTAGGGCCGTATCCGAATTGCCAAGTACATACTCAATCTTTCAGTAGGCAGTATGCAGTTTGTACTATCCGTGCTGCATACTGTTAGTACCTACTATTCAGTATGCACACACAGTAGGCAGATATTTGTTCCTACTTCATCTGATTCATTCAGTATGGAAGTGACGTCATTTACGTTTCCAGAACCGGCCTAGTTATTTTTGGTACAACTGAGATGCACACTATTCATGGGCCCTTTCCGAATTGTCATATTTCAGTATGCGGTACGTACTATTCAGTATGGAGTTTCAGTATACTGAACCCTCATGGTCATTCAGTATGCATTTTTTGGGTCCGCGTAGTATACTGAACATTTCAGTATGGATACTAACTTCCGGGTTTTATGCAGTATGGATCGGATGCGTGCTTTCAGGAAATGAATTATGTTTTACCACCCACAATGCAGTGCGAAATTAAACGTAAATCGTCACGTCCACCTCCAATCAAAACAAACGAGCGTGGATTAATTTAATCAATTTTTCATCTAGAGTTAAAGTCCCGACTGAAATCACTACTTTTAATTAACAACAGACAATATAACAAATGTCTGCATTATTATAAAACCTTTCTCCCTCTATTTAAATAATGATTTCACTATTTAAATGCGTCTTTGTTGGTTTATTTTATATTCTGTATATTACTGTCTTTCATTTGTACTTTATGTTATTTAGTTATTTAATCTGTCTTTTACTTGATTTACATTGTGATATTGTTTTTTGTTTACCTGACTGTATATGTGCATTACTCTTCTTGAATAAAGCTAAACAAAAAAAACAAAAAAAAACAGGTGGATGCGGCCGGTTCGGGAAACGTAAATGACGTCACTTCCATACTGAATGAATCAGATGAAGTAGGCACAAATATCTGCCTACTGTGTGTGCATACTGAATAGTAGGTACTAACAGTATGCAGTACAGATAGTATGTACTGCATACTGCCTACTGCATACTGAAAGATTCAGTATGTACTTGGCAATTCGGATACGGCCATGCTGTTCAATTTCCGGGTCAGAGGTCGAAGCGGGAGCTGTGGAGCATGCTCAGAAGAGTCCAGTTTGAGTCAGCCTGAGGTGTAAACATAGTGATAGTGATAGTAAATCGACCCTCACCCACATTATCCATGTATGTATGTCTGACTTTAAGAAACTCAACTTCAGTCAGTTTTTAAATGGATTTAAAAAGTCCAGTTTTGGGGAGCTGGTGGCTCAGTGGTTAATGCATGTATGGAGGCTGTAGTCCTCCAAGCGGGCGGCCCAGGTTCAAATCTGACCTGTGGCTCCTTTCCTGCATGTCATCCCTCTTTCCCTCTCTCTGATTTCAGACTCTATCCACTGTCCTATCTCTGAGATACACACAGATACACTGAGTTGAGCTCAGAGAAGAAAAAAAATCTGCACTGTGTGCTCGTTCTCTGTTAGGTGTGAATGTTTACCTTCACAGCTGTGGAGAGAAGTTGAGGTGTGGCTCTGTTAATGTGTTCATGCAGGAGCAGATAAAGATGGCTGCCATTTGTTCTCTTCAGTGTGAAAATACACAGAGGGACATTTAAAGTTATTACAGAAGTCTGCTGTAAATTCAGAAGCCACACACACACCTCTCGATGAGTGTGTGTCCTCCACACACTCGAACTTTTGAACCAGCTCTGACACAGCTTGAAGCAGCTGAGACAATGGTCAGTAAACAGAGGACAGAAAGAAGGGATTAGCTATTAAACACAGGATGTACTTAAAGAGGGGGAGGAGGAGGAGGGGGAGGAGTAAGAGGGGGAGGAGGAAGAGGAAGAAGAGGAGGAGGAGGAAGAGGAAGGAGAGGAGGAGGAAGAAGAGGAGGAGGAAGAGGAAGAAGAGGAGGGCCTGAGATGATTCGGACCTGTAAAATAATAACAGCACACTTCTGTTTCTCTCACGTGAGTTTATTCTGATAAAATAATGAATCTGTATCATCAATGAACACAGAAAGAAACAAACAAGAAATTAAACTTTATTTGTAGTTAAAAATATAAAGATTGATTTTAAATTCTTTAGTGTGACTGAAACTTGAATGAACCCTCATACCCTCACTGACCAATCAGAATTAAGGAGGGGCGGGACTACTGACACCAGCTTTGTTTCCAGGCGTAAAGAGGATCATGCTCCATAACCGTGATGTCATCACTGCAACAGTGATGGACCAGTTTCAGCCATATTCCAGTGACATCATGCTCAGGCTGGGCAACCTGTCGTCGTTGTTTTATCTTACTGTTATTTTGCAGGTTTAAGTGTTAACATCACAAATCTGAGCAACTGTTTTCAAAGCTTCCTGACTGATGAGGTCACTGATGAGAAAAACGATGTGTCGACCACCTCGAGTGGACACAGGAACATATCCGCTATGGGAACATGGTCTATTATTAGCTGCCAGTTTGTACTAGACCCTAAAGGTGAACCACATGGGAAGTTTCAAACAAGTAAACTGTTATGGAGTTATTTGTTCTTTGTGTTTTCATCCTGATAGGGAAACTTCTCTAGACCAGGGTCATGACCTTCAGGGAGGAGGGCTGGAAGCGTCTGATCTTTTTCTTCAGGGCTCTGGAGGCTTTGATCCGACAGGCAAACGGTTCTGGAAGCTGCTGGAGGGACCAGACCAGACCGCTGTGATGCTGGGGCTGGTCCTCTTGGTCCTGGTCCAGGGACAGGCTGCTGTCAGACTTTGAGGAGGATCCAAAGCTGGACTCACAATCTCCATAGTGGTTAACAGTATGGTCGCACTCTGCCGAGTACTCGGACACGCAGCGAGGGGGGTTCAGGCTTGACCTGTAGACCAGGGCTGGTGGGTACCTGGGGTTCAGACTGTGGAGGACAGAAGGCACAGAAGACAAAAAGGACCCAGAAGGTCCAG